AGGATCTCCTGCCGGATGTCCACCCGCCTGTTAAGCGGGACCGCGTCTGCCATGGTGATCTCATCTGCCGTGTCCGTTTTCGGAGGGGCTCTCCCCAGGACCGTGCCGTCCACCGGGTTGCGGTCGGCCTGTGCCCGGGTACCACCGGGGCCAGCGGCACCCAGGCTTCCCCGTTCCCGCTGCTGGATCCAGGTCGGCTTGCCCTCCACGATGAGCAGGTTGTAGGTGATGCCGTCCGCCTCATAGGTGGCCGAGGGTGCCTGGAAGGGGACGAAGTCCTTGCCTGGGCAGACCCAGCACTGCTTGGCTGCCTCTGGCCACCCCGTACCGCATGCCTTGCACATGAACTTGTAATCGGAATGGCCTGCATCGAGCCTGTGCATTCGCTGGGTGCCAATGCACGCCTTATTCCTCTGGAACTGCGAGGCCCAGACCTTCTCCTGCCGGATCTGGATCTTCATCGGGACATAAGCCTCCAGGATGCGAATCACCAGGTCCTCCGTGAGATTCTTCCCGACAAACTTGTGGAACAGGGAGACCGCCTCCTCCACCGTGATGTCCCTCAGCAAAGTGGCCGCCGATGCTGGAAGGACTGGAAAAAGGTCTGGGAGGTCCACCAGCTTGAAATAACCGGGTCGGCCCTCAACAGGCACCAAGGAGACCGGTTTGTTAACCTGAGCCGTGGTCTTCTGGGAAGCCGCCACGAAACCCTTCAACCTCTTCGTGGGTGGCGTCTGTGCCTCCTCCGGTGGCGTGGCCCGCTCCGTGACGTCCGCGTCTTCCATGTCCTTGTCATCCTCCTCGGCGGGGCCAGGGGCACCCAAGCCGGAAGTCGGTGTGGCAAATGCCACACGGAGACGCTCCAGTGCACTGGAGAGGTCCTTCATCACATCAGTAGCCGAAGCCGACGGGGGGGCCTCGGGCTCGTCCAAAACCAAGCCGGCCGCCACTGCCGCCTCGCGTGTGCGAATTTCCTGGGCCTCCTGGCTGGCCATTTCAACCTCCTCCACGGTGAGTGTCTAGTCCTCAATCAGCTCAAAGGAGGTGGCCGAGGTTGCCGAGGAAGCCATTGCTTGATCGGGGTTAGGTTCGAAAGTGTCAAAGCTCAAATTGTTCAAACAGCTTGGGTTCCAGGAACCCAGACAATGCTTGAGCCAAAATGGCACATGCCATTGTGGTCAAGCATTCCAAACACAGTTCATGTTTCCACATGCGTTTCAACATTAACAAATGCTCACCTACAGCGCACACACACACACACACGCGCACCTCGAAAACAATTGTACTCCTTCTGGAGCGCGTACATGTGTACACCTAAAAAGCACATATGTCGTCAAATGAAAAACATGTTCACCTAGCACATACTCATGTATTCATGTGGAACACACATCTGATCACCTGGAACACAAACACGTGTTCAATTGATACACACATATGCGTACACATGAAACACACGCACATATACACACACGTGCAGACACATATATTCACACATGAACACTCACATATATGTACACCCGGAACACACACCAACCTGCTCGTCTGGTAACAGCCATATGCTCTCCTGGAACGCAAACACGTGTCCAATTAGAACATATATGTGCGTACACGTGAACACACATATGTGTACACGTGGAACATACATATGTGTACACGTGAACACTCACATATATTTGTGCACCCTCCGGAACACACACACGTGCGTTCATCTGAAAACAAACATGAATTCACCTGAAACACAAACACGTGTCCAATTGGAACACACATATGTGTACACGTGAACACCCCAATGTACACACGTGGGACACACATATGTGTGCACACACGTGTTCATCTAATAACAAAGATGTGTTCTCCTAGAACACAAACACGTGTCCAGTTGGAACGCACTTGTGCGCATACGTGAACACACAAATGTGTACACGTGGAACACACATAAGTGTACACGTGAACACACATACATGTGCACGCGGAGCAGACACTCACACGTGTTCATCTGACTGGAACACATACACGTGTCTGAGAAGAACACACATGTGTGTACACGTGCAACACGCATGTGTGTACACTTGAACACACATGTGTGCACACGTGAACACACACACACACACAAAAAAATCGCACCCGGAACACGCACACACACAAACACGCGTTCATCTGATAACAAACATGTGTTCCTGGAACACACACATGCGTACGCCTGCAACACACATTTGTGTTCACCTGGAACCCATTCATGTGCTCAATTGGAACAGGCATTTGTGTTCACGCGCAACACTGGCGCAGACCTAGATCGCACAAACATGTTTAACCAGAACAAACTTCTGTGTTGACTTGTAACACACATATGTGTACACAGGGAACAAACGTATATGCACATGTGGACAAACAAATGTGCAACACACATGCGTTCACCTGGACAACAAAAGCGTGCTCACATGGGCTTTTCATTAAATTTACATTTTCTGCACGCCTGGGCAACACATACATCAAGTTCCCCAAGCCGGCTTTGAGGCGCTATTCCACGGGGCTCTGCCTTGAACAACGCTTGCGTTTTATATGCGTGTTCCAAGTAGGACAATAGTGTTCCTGTGCGACTAATCTAGCTTTTTTGCAACACGTTGCTACCGAGCAAGCCTGCTGCTGCTGCTGCTACTACTGCTAGTACTATCAGTATCACATGCGTCTCCAGCATTTACAGGCTTCAGCTTAGCAAAAGCTTTCCGGCGCATTGCGCTTCTTTCTCGCTTAGCTGCGCAGTGTCTTTCAATCTGTTGTGCGTTTATCGTGTTGTGGCAACTCTTCGTATCGATTCAGTCAAGCGTTTGCGTTCGCAGGGAAACACGCAACCCAATTCTTCCGTACGCTCGGTTTTCTCCCTTTGTCGAGCAAATCGCATCCCATGGTAATTGCATGCGAGGAGAGCGGAGGCAAATTTGGCGTAAATGGGAACAGGTCACAGCTGACTACTGCGCTAGCGCCTTTCTAGCGCGCGGCTAGCGCGGATTCGCCGTATTTTTTGGAGACACCCGCGGCTGGTATTCCCACTTAGCTCAGCCCACCCGTTTTAGCCAGTTAAAATGGGTGGTCTGAGCTAAAATGGCTGGTTCAACCCCCGAAAAAAATGAGTGGTCTGAGATTGAAATTCGGAGCCAAGTGGTCTGAGGTTATAGTGCTAAAGTGGCTGGTTGAACCCCTGGCTAGAATGCATGGTCTGAGCCCTTTAGCCAAGTGTGCGAATCCGGACAGCCGCCTTGCACACATTCCTAAAAAGAGGGATTCGGGAAGACTGCCTGCGGGCCCCGCCCCTCTTTTTTACAGCAGTCTCGTTCTGAAAAATAAAGGGGAAGAAACATGGTAAGAAAGGAAAATCTGAGGAAAATAAAGCAGACTCGTTCCTTGGTAAGATCAACATCCCCTAGTGTGATTGCTACGGGCGCTTATCTTCTACTTGCCGAAGCTTTTCTACATGCTTTTGTTTTTCCAGTGAGCACCCAAGCAAAGTTCAAGAGCTGACACTTCAGCCGCCCAACTGAGACAATCCTAGCCTTCCAAAAAGAGGGACCCGGGTCAAGCGCAACAAAAGGCAACAAGGCAGGCAAAGGGCAACAAGCCTCAAAAAAAACACCCGCGCAGACCCCCAAAACAAAATACAGGCGCGATGGGGACCATGGACCCTTGCTCAACAGAGTAGTCATGGCGAAAATGGGTGGTTTGAGTTGGACGTGATGTGAGCCAGGGGGGTGGCTGAGATGGGTGGTCTGAGGCAGAATAAAATGGGTGGTTCTGAATAAAATGGGGTGGTCTGAGGTAAAATTAGCCAACGCTGGTCCTAGGATAAAATGCTTTTAGGTGGTGAGAGGCCACCCTTCTCAGCCAGCGATACCAACCCCCAGTTTGGAGACCATCTGTGTGGGCTTGAGGTATTCAGGCCACGTAAGATTCAGGTAAACGTGCGGGCTGGCTTCAAGTACGAAGCAAGAACTGCAACGTTACACCCTTGAAATCCACACAAAGCCCATCGCGGTAACCCGCGCGCCAACTCTTGGAAACCAAGATCACCGAAGAGCCTAGCGCAAACCAAGCGCCATCCTAGCGCCTCCAGCGGGGAGCAGGCAATCCACTGGTATTTGCAGGACTCCGCTTTGTGTGAATGAAAAACTGCACCAAGTGCCTGCAACGGTGGCCTCTGTAGACTAAACTCCCTTACTAAGAATTTTGACCAGATCGCAGAAGTGTTTGATTAGAGCAATCCCACGCTTTCACCTGCAACACAAAAAAGTGCTCACGTTGACCCGCCTCCAAGACACAACACAGGCCTACAACAACAGTTGCACTTGCGTGGAACATGATGCTGCATGGTCCGTGCGCTATTGCCCCGTCCTCCGAAACCCTCCGAGTCTAACACAGCACGAGACACCACGGCCTTTGAGATTCGCACGGCGCCACAGCGAGAGCGACTCGACACGCGTAATCTCCGCAGAGGGCTTGTCGGCGAGACACGCGCGCTTAAATACGCGTTTTTGCCTGCACAATACACCGAGACAAATGAAGGGAGACAAAGGGAGACAAATAAAACCGTCCACCCAGACAACGGAGACAAAGAAAGGGAGACAGGGAGAGAAATGAACCCGCCGTGCCAGGCATCCAGTCTGGGAGACACAACGGGAGACAAATCAAGGGAGACAAAGGGAGACAAATGAACCCGTCCACCCGGAGAGCCGTGCCAGGCATCCAGGCTGGGAGACAACGGGAGACAAATGAAGGGAGACAAGTGAACCCGTCCACCCAGAGAGCCGTGCCAGGCATCCAGGCTGGGAGACAACGGAAAAAATGAAGGGAGACAAAGGGAGACAAATGAACCCGTCCACCAAGAGAGCCGTGCCAGGCACGGCTGGGGCTTGGCAATAGGCGAGTCACTTTAAATGAATTTAGAACCCCTCACAGTAAACTGTTTGGGGAAAGAAAAAAGAAGAAGAAACAAAAACTTCTCTTCCCGCCTGCTCGTCCTGCGCTTGGCCCCGGCGCTTCGCCCGCTGCAGCGCGCGGCGCAGGCGCCGCTGCTGGTGCTGCAGGAGCCGCAGCCCTGTCGAAATGGCCTTTCCGTTTCGAATGGGACCCGTGCGCCTGGGCCAAAAAGAAAAGCGGCTCTCCATTCTGTCCTTCACATAAGGGTCGCAAAAAAGAATGGGAAAGCAGGCAAAGGCGATGCCGGGCAGCTGTTGGTCCAAAGGTATCTGGTTTTGAAGAAAATGGTTGGTGGAGCATTTCCGGGTTTGGTTTGCTCTCAGCATTTGGAGTCACAGAAATGTGATGCAGAAGTGCTTCTGGGCAAGGCTGTGTGAATTTGCGAGCTCACAACGGTGCAATTCTCTCTTTGCTTCTTTCCGAGATGTCCTGAAATTGAAACGAAACAACTCAGAACAAGTCATGGGAAGTAACTTGAGCCGCGCTCATCTCCAGCAACTGTCAAAAGAGTTCGCGCTCATCTCCAAGCTGACCATCTGCTGACTCTACACAGCTGTCCGCCGGATTCGCCATAGAGTTTGCCCGAACCGCGCGGGAACCAGACAAACCTCTACATTCCACACCAAGTTTGCCACCAACAAACTCACCGGCTTGCAAGAGGATGACAAACGTGACTTGTGCAAACAGCATGTGTTGCACCAGTCGCGTAAACAACTGCCGTGCAATGCTTGCAAACCGCACTATGCAGAAGTGCCACCTCCAGGTCAACAACTTCCACAAGACCCACTCATTCAAGTGAGAATTGAAAACGCACCAGCCACACTGGCACCCCACCCCACCCCCCAAACAATCAGTGCGGAGCTGAAAGTTGAACACAGTGCTGCCCAGTGGCTGTTTTTCTGGCGCAGCTCGTTCATGTCAAAGCCATCCTCCACAAGCCACCGAAGTGTCAGATCCCCCAAACGAACAAGGAAATGAAAAGACATCTTTTGGAAGACTACTGTTCTTTTGGATCAGCCGCTGTGCACTCCCAAGTTTGTTGGTGGGAGGGTAAGACTTTGAGCAGCCCTCCTACACCAGTGCATTGGATATATGAGCTTGCCGGCAGCATACACATGTCGGGCACCTCTCGCTTGGGAAAGGCAACACCCTGCAGTCCTCATGTGCGCATAACATAAATGTAGTTGCTCGCCAGAAGAAAACATTTCTATCATCTTCAGGTCTAATTCGCTCACGTGCTCTTCATTCCAACATCTAGCTAGTCGCAAGACACTGACAGAAAGACAACTACTGATCCGATTACTGCATCCAGGGCCTAAACTTTCCTAATTTACATCCCACTTCACCTCCGTTCTCAAACTCAAAACCTTCCAAGCTCATGATTCAAATCTTCGCCCAACTCACCCAGAAAAATCGCAGCTAGGGCGAAATCAACAGCCCACCTTAACTTCTTTCTTCGTGTATCGCCCTTTGGGATTCTCTCACTAACGCAGCCCTTAACGCGGCTTTCCGGGGTGCGGTCCGGTGATTGCTTTGCATCAAACGCTCCGCTCGCTCGAAGCGATGCCTGCATAGTGGAGAAAGTGCATCACATGTTGTCATTGCCTGCGGCTTTCCCGCAGTGCGAAAACTTGCGCTGTTTCGCATGGTCTTGGCTTGCGGTTTGCGGTTGACATTTGTTTGACACACTGGCACCATTTGGGCATGGCAATGTATTTGTGTGTGATGCGTAGTATTTGTTGGCATGACCATGCATTTATTGTCCTAGTATTTGCTTGCTTGCTCGCTTGCTTGTTTGCTTGTTTGTTTGCTTGGTCGCTTGTTGGTTTCTTTACGATGCTTGACATGGCAATGAATTCTGCGCGCACCTCTGCGTTCAGGCGCCGCGCCCAGGCCGCGAGCTCCGGGCACTGGCGGTCCATGGCCCGCAGCCAGCGCTGACTCCAGCAGGGCCTGAGAAAAGTGGCCGTCCAATCAAAGAGATGTGGGAGGATGAGAATGACAAGTAGATGTAAGTACAATCTACCGTATTCATGTCATACTATATCATATTATATCACATCACGCCGAGTCAGACCATATCGTATCATATCATATTCTATCCTATCGTAGCGTATCGTACCATGCGGTTTCATGTGTGTATACATGTTTATGTATATATACATATATATGTTTTTATATATATATATATATATACATATATATATATATATATATGTGTATGTATGCACCCCCCCGCAAAAAAAAAAAAAAAAAAAAAAAAAAAAAAACGCCTACTGCTTATGTAAGTGAGGTCAGGTCGATTCCGATTCTGCAACCCATATAAATATTAGTTGCTTCTACTGTCTTGAGGTTGTCGTGCACTTCCTCCTTTGCCTTCTCAAACACTTCATATGTCGGTTACCAATTCATCTGTTTCACCACCAGCTAGTTTGACCATCGCATCAGAAGCAAAGTTAGGTATAGTCAGAAAGGCGCCATAGTCTGAAGAGTTCGCAACATGTCAACCAACAACTAATCACCTGCTTTCACATAGAAATTGCAATGCTCACTCATATGTTTCATTTTAGAATGTGTCCAATGAGTTTTGCTTGTTCATAGTCTTCAACGCCTAATGTATCCTCTCTCAATTGACTGCAACGCATCTCTTTAAGGGTACCAGTGCAAGGTTTCCAAAGTAAAACAAGACAACTAATTTCCCTGAACAACATCTGCTCTGCACGAAATCTGCTAACAAAATTACCGTGTTTTTGTCGACATCCAGGGGTAGGTGTGGATTGCTTTAAGTCATGGTTTGAAGAATCTACCCTCCAATGTCCATATGTTGAACTATCAAGTGTATGTGCCGCGCACAAGTTTGAAACAATGATAAGGTGCACACACCTAAAGAGGAATGGTTAGATGCAAACATTTTAAAGGTGTTTACGCGTTCTAAAGCACGGTTGGATAAGACTCAAGACTCCCGCTTGAATCCAGTACGCGGCACCTAAAACGCTTTGAAGCGCTTCAAAGCACTTTGGGATCCCAGGACTCTTGTCTTTGGATCTTATCCATGAGCTACCGAGATGAAAGCGCTTTAAAGCGTTTTGGGGGGCACATACTGGATTCAAGATTTAATATCTAGAGTCCTGGCAATCTTGAACCGTTCTTCCAAAAGTGATTTAAAGCGCTTTAAAGCGTTTTGGGGGGCATACTGGATTCAAGATTCAAGATCTAGAGTCTGGGAATCTTGAGTCTTGAATCTTAGATCCAAAAATGCTTCTTTAAAGCCTTTTCGGGCAGACATCGTCACAGTCAAATGGGCAGATGCGGGCACAGTGAAATGCTCAAATGTGGGGTGCCTGCAATTGGGGCGGAAATCACCCAAAGTACTGTAAATACCGCAAAATGTTCTTGAGGCGTGGGTTTTGGGAGCGGGGAATAGCATATAAAGATACAATTGCATATATCAATGTGTACATATATATATATATATATGGCTGTGGCTCAAAAGTAAACAGGAGGGGTTACGCAGGTTTTGGTGTATTGTTTCCACTTGCCAGGGTTCCTTGTTGGCATTTTGAGCCACAGCCATATGTGTGTGTGTGTGTGTGTTTGTGTGTGCGTGCGTGTGTCAGTTCGTTTGCCGGTGCTGCGGCTGACCCAGTCCAACCTTGTCCTGGTCAACCCTGCGCTTTAGGCCTCTCTGTTCTGCAGCTGCGCCAAACTTGAGGAAAGTTGTTGCGGCCAACGTAGTTCTGCGTCCTGAGCGCTTGTTCAGACAAGCTTGAAGCGTAAGTAAAGCAATGCAAAAGACAGCAACATTCCGGCGAGAGCGCTGCATTAACCCAAGCCAGAAAGCATCTTCTGCAGGCTTCACTCTTCAAAAAATTGCTGTGCACGTGGATCGAACAGCACAGCGACATATGCCAAAACAACCTGCTTGGATTGAGACGGAGGCAAGTGTCACAGCAATAGTATCATCCAAGTTGACCACGCAATGCCACCAGTTGCCCGGTACATAGATGGTCTCCTCCACATGTCACGCTTGGGCGACAGTCCTTGCGTTTTCCTTGCAACATAGTATCAATCCAAACCCACTTCAGCCAAAACATAGGACACCGTCACGCGAGTCACGCGCATCTCAAGGTTCCGCCGTCCAAGCCCAGCCCTAACTGCCCTCCCTTTCTCACCCACCCAATCTCGAAGCAGTCCATTAGACCATCCGGCTCACATGCACTCTGAGCCGCAGGCCCCAGCATGCTGCACACCTCACGCAGCGTGGCGACTCCATGCAGGAACCATGCCATGCACCAGCATTGTGCAGCCTGTTGGTGCTTGTTTTTCCCTTGGGGGCCGACGTGAGGAACTCGGATGGATTCGGATGGGTTTGGTTGGGTGGATTCAGGTGGAGTAGCGGCCGCGGAAAGCCACCCAAAGCCAAAAAAGATGGGGAAAAAAAAACTGGGCACGCCTTGAGAAAGTGCCTTGAAAAAGTTTGAATCAAATGGCTGTGGGTCAAAAATATGGTCACCCCAAAATGGGTTGCCCTGGTAAATGAAAACTAATTTAAGACCCACACCCAAATTGCCATATCACAGACAGCACGGGCTGCCCAATTTGTGCCAAGTGGCACACCAAAGGCTTGAAGTCAGGATCCTGCCTCGCCAAACGGTCACCAAAACGGCCAGATTCTAGCTCAACGTACTGCCAGAATCCTGTGATATCTCACGTGCGCGCAAGCTGGAGCATCCCACACTCACACTCGCAGCTCAAAGCGACCAAAGATGCTCTCTGACTGGGATACATTGAGGACCCTTTGGAGGACATGGCTTACGTGACAATTTCTGTCCGTCGACTTTTTAAAGCTCTTCCCCACTAGAACTCATACCGCAAAGTCCTTGATACCTTCCCCCAGGCCTCGCGCGCTTCCGCGGCAGCAAGTCCAGGAAGTGGTTGCCTGGTGGCTTCGCGATGCACTGTGGCAATTGGCCTGAAAGTGCTGCTTCCCAGCTACGACTTGGTCAAGGTCGTAAACGAAGGCCTTTAAAAGGCCTTAAGAATATCCGATGTACATTGACATGCTGGTTGGCCAGCTGCGGGGCAAGAATTGCAACCTGTGCTTGCTGGTGAATGAATTCGCTGCACACCATCGAATGTTTGATGTTGATGGCAGTAGGGTGGCTTGCCACCACATTCAAACAGATTACAACAACTTTTTGCCCCGGACAGGCCAAGTAATGGCCGTGACTTGTGTGGGAACGGGTTACACCTCCCAGCCTCACCAAGCCTCCGGCACGCATGACACCTAGCCGGGCGGCACGCTTCATCGTCGTCCTCTGGCAGCATGACATCTTTGGCCTTGGCCACCTGAATCCGCGACAAACGCCAAACGCCAGCGGCGACTTGGGAGGTGTTTGAGCCTTGAGCTCAGCATCCGCTGATATGGCCATGGGTCAAAATCCAAATCGTACCCCCAGTGAACATCCCAATCCAACCACTCAAATAGACTAAATGGGGTGGCGCACCTACCCCAAAATGGGACCATAGGTTTTGACCCACAGCCATATGCTTGGTGTGACCAAAAACATCCACGAAGAAACAAACCTTCAAACCCAAGACCTGTTGTCGACCTATGCAAGCTGCATCTGGACCTGTATGCCCAATTTCCCCCCCTTGGTGCCTTCTTGGGCGTCTCCGGGGGCAGCAGCAGCCAGAGCTTCCGGCCAACCAGCAGCGTGTTCCAGGCTGAGGTGCACAAAGGGTCCTCTCCAAACAGAGATCTCCACCGGCGTTCGGGTCAGAATCACAGGTGGCCTTTTGGACAAATAGATGGCCCTGGCGAATAAAATGAAACCCAATCTAAACCAGTGCCATAACTATAAAGGACGCCTAAGGTCAGAGTTTCACTTGGACGCTCTTTGGTGGACATCATTTGAAGGCGGATATATCCGCCAAGCAGTTTTCGGGGTGTTGCGCATGAAGTCACAGGCAGGTTGCCCCTTTCTCGAAACCAGTTGGAGGACGGCGTCATGCCTTGCAGTGGCAATTTTGAGTGAACCTCAAGTGACCTTGAGCCTTTACACTGTTCGCCATTGCATGACTGGCAGTATCTCAACTTGCACCTGACAATGCGTCTATTCCGATTTCTACCGTTGCGGGCTGCACCGTTGCACCCTGCAAACCACTCTCAATCCTTGAGAATTAGGGGGCAAATTGGTGGTTGCAGGGTGCAACGGTGCAGCCCGCACTGGATTGCAGGGTGAACGGTGCAGCCCTTGCGCTGCCCTCTCATTTATATCATCAAGGGAATCCTCTTGGTTCCCAGGAATTCTCACCATGACACATGGGTGTGGGTCAAAATTAAACCACTAGAGGACCGCAGGCTTTAGTCCATGTTTCCATTTACGAGGGTTCCATTTTCAGTACCTTGTTTTGACCCACAGCCACATCTCTTCCATCTCCCTGTCCTGATGCATGATGGTGCCACTCCTCTTTGGCCCCACACCCACCCAGCGATACGGCGGCCGGTCGTCTCCGCATAGGCCCATGTAGTCGTCCGGGAAGTAGGACCTCGCGAGCGGGACACGCTGGAAGTTTGGCTTTCGCCTGGATGCGGTGCCAGCCCTCTCTGAGCGGCACCGTCATCCACTTGTTCCACATGGAAAAAGCTGCTCTACCATCAGCCCCACTCACACGCAAACAAGAGGAAATGCGCTCTTGGGCCCGTCCATGCCCAAAAAGCGAGTTCTCACACCTCTCCGCCACCCTTGGGCTCCCTGCGGAACCCTATAGTCATCCAGGATGGCCTGGCGAGGCGGACTCTTATCTTGGGCTCGCCTGCTTGGAACTCGCGTAGAGCTAGCGAAGCCTCCACTTACAGACTGGCCAGCTCGAGCCACTTGCATGTCTTCGACTTGAAACTCACACATGAAAAAAGGCGCTGCGATGTCTGAGCAACGCAGATAGCTGTCATTCAAGCCTGCGATTCGCTTGATGTCGCACAATGCCTTCTTCTCATGCTTGAACTGGTTGTCGAACAAGTAGACAGGGCTGTCATCTTGCTGCCTTCGCACTTGTCCCCTGGCCTTTGGGGTGCCAAGATACAAAAAGCAAACGAAATATTGTTTGGGTGGCTTGCCAAGATAGAAAAGCATTGCGTTGTGAAATACACCATTGCAAATCTTCGGACCCTTTGACTAAGAAATATGTCAAGAAATACGTTGCAACGCTTCCTGCAACGGCACCACTCGAGGCTTGCAGAAAAAACCCACGAAGCATTGCATTTGTTTGCCTCGGAAACGGCCCCGAGCCCTGGGCACCTGTGGCATCCATTCCTTGCCCACGCCACTCCAAAGTCCGCAACAGATCTCATCTCCAAATGAAGGCTGTCCAAAACAGGAACCCTGCAAAGTCTCCGATGAGACCGCCGTCGGCTGGCGAGGTTTACATGAGTGCCATCAAGCTGAAGCACACCAGAGCAAGCACTTGCCAGTATGCGGAGTTGCTTCCAGATCCACACCGAAAAACTGATGACCGCTGCGCTCCGTTCCCAAATCCCATTTCGCCGGAGAGGAAAATCAAGGGAAGATTCGTGAGTCCCCGGTTTTTTGGTTGTGGGGCTCAAACAGGAAACCATGCCATGATGTTGGAAATTCACTGTCATGGGCCATGTTGTCATGGACCCTGACGGAAATCATCCTGCTGGTTGACTCACCACAACTCAAGGATCCATTGCAGCTTAACCTAAGCACACATGGTTCTCCGTCAAAGCTATGGGTTAGCTCCCCAGTCCAAACTGCTTGGATGGGGGGGGGGGGGTGGGAAGGACGCTCGGGCTTTTGGCTGCTTCCCAGGCACTGCTGCGCGTAGCGCTCAAAGTGGTCTGCCCGTAGCCGCACGGAGCCGCCACGGTCGTCTTTGCCCACCTCCAAGCAGTCGCAACACACCGCGAAAGCGACGAATCTGCTTGGGAACGCGAAGAGACTGCCCGCCCTGCCGTGAACATCACCTTCGATCATCCCGGACTTTTCACCTTTGGATAGAACAACATTTTGCATGTACCCATCTCATTCCGAGTGCCAGAACCCTGGCCTTGAAGGAGGATTTGCCATACCTGGCACAGCCCGCTGTAGCTCAGGCAACTTGGGATTGAGACGACATCCACTTCTTGGGAGCTGTCAATTGCGCATGTCCATATTTAAATAATCTGCTGCGAAATAGGGGGGCATCGGCCTCTTGAAGAAGCTCTCCCAGGACCATCTCCTCAGCACACATGGCCATGATTCTTACCATCAAACTGGATCCCTGACTGCCAGATTTACAGCCTCGACAAGTGCTGCAAAGTTCTGAAAGCAATAGCCTCGCAAGTCAACTTGAAAATTGCATTGAACGAGCTAGAAAGCCCTCTTGCCCCATCGCCCGTCCACATAGTGGAGCACTTGCATGCAGACCCTTTTGAAGTGACTACCCCATCAGCAGATAGAAACGATCAAAATCCAGTGCATGCCGTGGCACTCACGAGGCCAGCCCTCCTTTGCGGGCACGCCCGCGATAAAGCACGGCTGCCCTAGTGACGAGTCCCAACACGGGGCCGATGCTTAGTTGAACATTCTGCCTCATTGAGTTACTCCCTTCGCAACGCAGGTGCCTAGCGTTGTGTTTACTCCCAGGACAGAATATGCATCGCAAAAGGAAACCAACGCTGCCCAGTTCTCTGGAGCGACGTGTGGATTGTGCAACTTCCTAAGTGCTTCCAGCACAAAGATGGACGAAGAAAATTGGAATTTGCAGTCAGGTGTGAGAGGCAATAGCTGTTTGGGATGGCAAGCAAAGTGGGCGAGACACTTAAGTCAATTGCGACAGATCCTTTCACGCTCAGATGGCACATTGCCCCTGATGTCGATCAAACAAGGACAAGCAGAATCCAAGAGTAGCGCAAATTGCGCCTGCCACCTCCCCTTTTTGCCCTCACCTCAATACTTGAGCCAAACTTCATCAAGCGATGTATCCTGGGGAAGATGCCTCATCTCTTTGTTTAGTCCACAAATTCTTGTCTTCTAGACGTCCTGCGCATCGAGCGCTTCCCGCCTGGCTTCTCGTACTTGTCCCAGAACTCCTGCTCAGCCCCATCATGTGTAAAACATGGAGGGACATGGCACGGCTGCCAACCACCTGGAAGAGCATCACCAAGCTGAAATACCCCGCCAAACCCGAAAGCCAATGCTTTGAATGATCTGGATGATGAAGCTCACATCCAGAAACTAATCAACATCCGTCTGCCATTGTGCCTACAACAGGCAAGCCTCCGAGGTCCAACGTATTGCAAAGCCTTTCTATCCGGGCTGCCGTTTGGCTTTTGATCGAAGCAGCTTACCTGAAACCACTCAAAAACCGCAGGTGAGGAGGGTAGCCACACGCAGGCACCAGCAACCACATGTAGTTGCACCAAAATGCGCGGGCTCACAGAGAGAGAGAGAGAGAGAGAGAGAGAGAGAGGAGGGGAAGAAAAAAAAAATCTGGTTTCTGCTTGGGTTTCCCTTCAAACATCACTTGCCAGGGATACATGCACAACAGTTTGAACAACCAAAAGTTCCAGAAGAATTGTTCCCTACCAAAAGGAACGGGTCCTTACAGCTCTCAATTCGGGACTCTTTGGTGGTTGTTTTGCATCGAACCCTTGCATTCCTAGCCATAGTAGCAATCTCACAAAGAAAACCACTCAAACGTGGTAGCATGAAACCCCACCAAGAAAACGCCTGTATGCCCACGGGAACCCGTTAAAACGTCAAACCCATTTTTCGACTAACGAACACCCCGTGGACTGATGCTAACACGTCCTATCCAGGAGATTCGAATCTGAGTGTATGTTGATTCCTCTACTTTCTAGTTCTCTGTCAGATTGCTCTGGAAGGAACACGGCAGCAGCCTGTTTTGTCTACGTTTTGAGGCTGAAATACTTCAGGCCTTGAGCCAAAATGTGGCATCAAGATGGCTGCTGGAAGGCCAACACTGTGCAAAGCAGAGCAAAACAGACACAAATGCCCTTTGGCCTTCCGCATCCAAATGGCGTATGGCACCGTAGCACTGTTTCACATCAATTTCGCTCTCAGAAATGAAGAAGGGTCATATTAATGAGGTGTAACTGAAACTGACTGGTGAGGCGTCTCTTGCTGATTCTAGTAAGGTGCCTTCGGTTGTATCTCCATGGAGTTGAGTCTTATCTGCATCATATCTGGCGCACTTGCTCAAGGGGAGCAAGAAGTGATTCACGCTGCGCACGCTTCAGTTCCATCTGTAGTTCTTCCAGTTGCCCTGGTAGTACCTGCGCTTCGTCCATGTATCGTGAGTATTCGGTCTCCTTCTAGTTCTCCCTCTGTTCCCCGCCCGGCTTGGAGCTTTTCAAGAAGTCGACCATGAGCGGGAAACGCCAATCCTTGTCGCCTTTTCATCAGCATCTCGTTGGCCAGGCGCTTGATGCGCTCAGTGGATGACACTCTGCGATCACGGATGATCCCCATCTCATCGTCCAGGAATGTCCAATTGTCGCTCTGCTTCAATTGCGCATGGGTCGTCATCCAGTGGAAGACGTAGGTCTGCGCAGTGAGTCACTGCTGATGAGCCATATGTGACTCCTGCTGATGAGCCACATGTGACATGTGTGATACCATTGGAACGCAGCTTGAGATCTTCAAAACGTGCATTCATGAGTCACACTGTTGGCTGGTATGTCTCTTCAGACAGAGATTGCGAGTTGGCAGCAATCACAGTGTCGGGTTGGCACTTACAAATCACACTGCGTGTGGTTTTCCCCCATGAGTAGGGTGAACGCGAATAACGGCACACGTTGCTACTGACAGACCTGCTCTGTGGACACGCTTGTAATCGCACGGCGGAATGTCATCATCATCTGCCATCACTCCTTGTTGATATCGGCTTCGATTGCAACGATCTCGCGACGCTTGCCATAGAAGTGATCAATCACACATCCGAGTCTTCATGCAATTGCCTGTAGACGCAAGACAGTCTCTCTTCGGCACGGTATGTTCAGGGTGACCCTCTCCAAAACAGAACTCTGTTTGTCTTTCAGATGGGGCTGGAAGAGGCTTGTCTGGCTAGCGGGACATGCTGTTGGCATCAGTATTGAGTTCTCCCGGCATATGTGAAGCATCGAGGTCAACTCCCAGAAGCAAGCAGAGAGGGGCTAAGGGAAGCTTGGTTAGCTTATTTGCGCCCGCTTCTGCAGAGGTGCTGTCACTTACTCAGTATGACCAACGCTGCTTGCGCCAAAGCCGAGTAACATGAGATGTTGCGACTGTATTTCCGGCAACAAAAGCACTGACAACCCGAAAGTTGCACATGCTCACTTGGGCCCAGAATGTGCATGAACCAGGATCATGCCACATTGCAAAACATGGGCGAAGCAAGTACGCATCTCGAACAAGCAGCAGCCTTTTTCTCGTTGTGATGGTAAGATAATTCAGGCCAAATGTGGCATGGTGGGTGGGGGCTGGTTGGAGATTGTTTAGGTTGCGTTAGGGGTGGCTCCAGGGTTGGTTGGCGTCAGCTTACAGTTTGCTCGGAAGGTTGATTTGGCGCGCGTTTTGGGAACGCCCTGTCCGCCCCGTGGAGTGGTTTTAGGGTTTGCTTGCGTTTGGCTTGCTTGCTCATCAACTAAAGTTTAGAAGGTGGTACGGACACTAATTGAAGCTAGAATAAGCACGCATGAGAGAAGTCAAAAAAGTGCGGAGCCAGCCCGAAGCGAGACACAGCGGTCCAGGGGGTCGAACCCATCCCCCCCCCCCCGGTCCCCCCGTGGGGCCTTCCCATGCCCGCCTCGACGCTTAGCTCCTCCCAGCGTTCACGTGGCAGCCCTCCCAAATCCGCCAACGCCTCGAACTCCGCCGCCTCGGAAATCGGCGCCCCCCACCCCAGACAGTCCGACTGGCCCTCGAAAAAGGAGCAAAATGGAGAAGAAACAATGATGTGCATGTTTGTGAGCACCTGTACCATGCGGTCCATCTGCACAATCCAGGTGGGAGCTTTCAATATGCGAAGCCTTCAGCAAATGAAGCACGTGCTGCCAGCTTGCAAAGGAATCCGACGTTCCCAAACGCGGTGTTGGTCTTCACCCCCATTTCGCTCGCCGAGACGCTCTCCTGTGCCCGAAGCCATATTTCTGCCAGTCTTCCAGGGAGAGTTCGCTGCGGATCTTCCTGGCAGGTTGACAAAGCTTACCAACAGGGCATGGCCTGGAGATCATTCTCAAAAGGGGCTTTGAGCCTCCAATTGCGTAAGAGACCCCGAGTGTTCACAATGGAATGGCAACTGCTTCCTTCATCACCAATCCAAGTTAGCTCCCTTTGCATTTGAAGAAGCCTCGCGGTGCCCTGACAGAATGAGCTCAAAGGTCACCCTGTCTACTCATGAGGCAATGAAACGAAAGGCAACACCTTTCATGCCAGGCAGCGCAAGAAAGGCCGCAAACCCGCCCCCACTCCTCTTGGCGCTGTTCACGTGGCAGACCCAGTCCTGTCTGACAAACGAGGGCATGAAGCAAGCAAAAAAACTTCATGGATTCAGTTTGCGCCTGACACAACCTGTTCACGCGTTGTGCTGCTACTCAACCATCTCCTAAAGACCCAGTAAAAACTCGCTGCAGCCAGTCAATTCTCTGAAGCAAGCTGCTTTCAGCTGTCCTCTGCAGGGCGCTGAGGCAAGGCGGCGTATCCTCAGATCATACGACAGCTTAACTCGAAAAGAAAGATACGGGGCATTCCTTGAATGGGATCCTGATCGGGTTGATGTAACCGGCTCCTTGGGCCACCCGTTGCATCGAAGATCCCTGACTCGTGCTCCATGCGAAGCACAATGCAGGCCGTCCCATGTCTTGTTTGGGAGACGCCTTTGTTGAACCCACATGCCTCCCGCCTCCCCAAAACACCGTCGCAAACTTTCGAGGAATTTTGTCTTTTTCCCGCAGCTTTCTACCCAGGTACCAGAAGCACCTTCTGGCTGCGCAACAGCTGCAGCAGCCATGGCCAATGAAATGGGCACGCAAAGGGCAGGAACATGAGCTGCTTGTCTACTTGTGGGTACATGGCACACATCTCAGCTCTGAGCCTGACCATGATGTTCTCATGTCCTGTCTCCAAGAAGTCACATATTTCTGCACGCCTCCCGAAAGAGAATGCCCAAAGATCCATCCAGCAAGGGAGCCCGCGCTCTCAGAAGCCGGCGGCTGCAAAATCGCGAGGCAAGCTGAGCTGTCAGAATCATGCGTGGGTACAAAATGTGAACCAAACTTGTCTGCATGCCTTGCATCACCTGAGCACTCTTTTGATGCTGTCAAATGTCAAACGATAATCCTCGGTTCAAGCAACTTTTGGACTCCTCAAGTCATGTAACACAAACAGCCCACTGGTATGCCATCTGCTGCCTGCAGTAAACCCATGCTCTAATCAATGACCTAGGGAACCACTTGATGGTCGGTGCTGAGCGTGCACACAGAAAATGTAGCCAATGCAATGATCAAACTGGCAGGTGATTTTCACAGCTGTCTGTTTGGCTTTGCGCAGTGCCGGCATAGCATCAACTTTACACACCGGATTTCGCTCCGCATCTCATCCCCTGACATGGATACAGCCCCAAGACACATCTTTCACATCCGCGCAAAAGGCCGCGCCATCTGCCCCCTCTCTCCATCCGGGCCCCCGGCTTGACTGGAAGTTGGTTTCCCATCCTGCGAGAGAAGTCCCAATGCATAGGCAACGAGGATTGGAAAGGGTCGGCCTCAAGTCTCACATTTCAAGCATGCCAAATGCTGGCAGCTCAACTTCTGTCACCAGAGCCCGGGATACCATAAGCCAATGTATAACTCCGAATGCTTTGATGGGATGCTGCATCACTCAGGAAAAATACAAACAACAAGAAAACACCTAGTAAGGTTGTGAGAATTGGCCACTTCTGTGATCCATCAGACCTTCCCCAACTTAAGGCAGGGTTTCGTGGTATCCCAGAAATGGGAACTAACCCAAGTTACCTAGTTCCAACCACTCTGTTCTAAACTAGCAGATTTCACAAGCCTCCACCAGGCAAAGCACGTTTGACTCGAGAATGCGACCCTGCAACTATAACCACCATCTTTAGAACAAACCTAAAGAAACAATGACAGCCTGGAAGTCTTCTGATTTTTAGCGACAAACCAAGCTTCGTGGAGTCCGTACTTGTGGCCTGTGCACCGAACTTACAGTATTCAGTCTTTCCTGATCACTTCAGGGCCCGCAAAAAAAAGCCAGACCGACCCTGGAGGTTCCAGGGAGCACGGTGAGATTGACACCTTCCATCCCACCTTGCCGCAGAGCTTACCTCGGGTGGCACGCAAACAGCATGTGGAGAAGAGGGGACTGGAAATTCTGCGAAACAAACAAGCATCCAAAAAACAGCTGCAGGGTGTACTTCGTTGTGGAAATCCTCCAAGTAGCAGTGCCTTCAGCGATCCCTTGCTTGCTTCACAAAGTTCCCAATCAATCAATGAGCAAACTGGTGATGTCAGTCTTCCCGAACGACTCTAAAAGATCAAGTGTGACTTCCAGACAGGTTGCTGTCGCAGCATGGCTTCCACGTTGCCAGGATGGCCCACCGCAGCGACTTGAGGGATGTTTGTGTCGCTTGTCGGCTGTCTGAATTGGCAGGCTGGGAGCCCTTTCGCCCGAATCAGGAAAAACAAGAAACCACAAGGGCCTTGCACATTTTCGTTGCACGACATGCGCCGTGAGCTCTGTACCATCGACATGCGCTCCGTGTTGGCACGCCTCAAGGTTGGCTTGTGGAGGGCCTATGAGGCTCACCTGTTGAACGCATGGCTCCTTCTGCACAAGCTGGGAGCCGGTCGCCGAGTGCAGAAGCATGAAACTGGCTGATTGCTAGAGCCTCACCCAACGGTCAAAACCAACCAGTTTTGTATGGTGTTTGTTCAGCTAGCGCGATGTGGGTTACAAAAAAATCATCAACCCATTTGTTGTTCCAGGTGTTGCAAATGATGCATCATGATTCTCACGCATGATCCCGTTGCCAGCAGTCCCAACTTTACAAGTCCAATCGCGCAACTTCGCTGATTGGCTGATTGGCGGCTGGCCGAAGAAGTGTCGCCCATCATATCTTCCGAATGTTCAGCGTCCAGGAAGGGAATTCCCGTTGCCTCCACTTCACAATTCTTTGACTTTGTGTTTGTTTTGCGCAAATTGTTCTGACAGAACCTGCACGGCAGTTCTGCGCAAGCTGAACCTGAAGCTACCATCGCAGCATTGGCTGCGTAGTGAAGCCAATCTGTGGTTGCATTTCCCCACGTATCAATTTGTTGTGCAAAACCTACAATTTCTGCGAAACTGCGACGCGGCAGCATCAGGTGATTTGTTCGACATGCATGAGTGTGAAACAAATCTGATCTGCTTGCTACGCTTGGCTTTCAACCTTCAAACGCGTTTTCGCTGCAAGCGGGCCAGACTGCCACTGACGGCGCGCAATGCAAGAGACCGTCTGTTGTCGGACCGGTTGCAAACATCAAAACGCACATCAAACTGATATAGCAATCCAAAAGCATGTGTAAATCAAGCGCAGCCCTGCCAAGTCAAGAGGGCTCTAAAAAACACACATTATTGCCACCTATGTTGTGTCAAAGTCCTTGACCACAGCACGCGCCTTGTTATGTTTGGGTTGTTCGAGCGCCTCACTTCGGTTTGGCGGTGCGCGGTGGTGCTTGCCTTGGCAAGGGCGCTCTCACAAACGGAATGATGAGCACCCCCCGCTGGCCAAAAAAGTTGTGTTAACCATGCGGTCTCAGCTTGACCACGCAGGTCCGCCATTTTGGCAAACGAAGCAAATGAAAATACGGCTCAAAACGCAATTTCAACACGCACCCACAAGCAAGAAGCAACGGCCTGGCAGGAAACCAAAACACCGACAACCGAGGGAAAACTGTTGGCCAGAAATCGTGCATCCTGCGTGGAACAGCAACATGAACTTGCAACGCGTGAGCCAAGGCAAAGTGCGCCGCACTGCAAACTTTGGCAAAACGCGAAGTGGAGCGGTCGTCCCACGTGTTTCTTCAGCTTGACCGGAGGTCGAAAGCACGTACTTTAAGTTTTGCACCCAGTGGCTTAAGCTTTTCATGTGGCTCATGCACAATGACCATCTTGCTCGGAACTGTTGAAGCAAAGCCCGCCGTTCCACGCTCAGGAGCCACACCAAAAAAGGAAAAAGCATACCTCCCTGGTCCACAAAGCCTACGCAAAGACCAAGCACCATGTGGACGTGCGCCGACAACCTTCTGCCGAAGAAGAGGCAACACGCAGCGTTTAGAAACTTGTTCACTGTTTCAAACCTATCAAGGACGTGTCGGAAATAAACAAGCCATGTGATGGACAAGCGCGCAGCTTCTTTTCTATGCGTTGTTCAGAGGTGCAGGCTCTGGGACGCAGATGAATCAACAAGCGTGTTCAACTCATGTCTTCTGCATCCCAAGCGGAGCCTGTTACCAGGAAAGCCGGCGAAGCCGGGAGGCGGAAGTTTCAAAACAGTATACAACTATAGGAACGACTTTGTGTTGGCAAACAGCTCAAACTTCTTTCTTTTCTGTCTCCTTTGCGTCCCTGTTTCTGATCCCTTTGTTTGTTGTTGGCAACCAGCTCACTCCCTGTTTCTGACCCCTGTGCTTCTCTCGCGCTCCTTTTTTTCCAATGCCATCGCTGCGTGGCGGCGCCAAACACTGCGGCCTGAAGTGTTGGCGCTGAGCTCGTTGCTGCGAGCGCACGGCGGTGACCTTGCTGGCAGGGCACAATGCCCGGGAGCTGCAGCACACAGGCGCTTAGTCATTATTCAGTTACCTATCATTATGAGTTATATTATTCAGTTATCTATCATTATTACCTAAGAGCCGCGGGTAACAGCAAGCTCGTTATTACGTTCACACACAAGCGGCGGCTGCGCCCGCCGGCGTGGTGCTCAAGGCTGCGGCACATTGATGCTTAGCTATTGAGCAGCCTCTGGTTGGGCGAGCTATGGCTAGCATGGCTGTGTCGGCTGGCAGGCCGTGGCGCCCAAGACACAATGTTAGAATCTTGATCACTGCTTCAAGCCGTAAAGGAACATGCATCAAAAGACAAAAGAGTACGATCGACAAAAGGTGCGCTCCGCTCTTTTTCTTTATGAGGCGTTGCTTGGAAGTCAAGGCTCGGAGGTGCAGGGGGAAAGACAATGCGTGTCCTTTCCCTGTGCCTGCACCCCCATGTGGAGCCTGCTCACACGCCCCCAAGTTAACAGCGCGTGTTCAACTTGTTCACAGGGTGTGTTACCCTTGGGGTGTGAAATGCAAAAGGGTGACATTGAGATGCATCAAGATGCAACGCGTGCAGCTTGTGTGTGATGATGAGGCAAGCGTCCTCAATCATCTGACCGATTAGAGGTCTAATGCGTACGGCGAGGTCCGAGTTATCGGGCCGATGCAGGATGCCAGGCTGTGTCCTGTCCTGATCAGTGCCAGATGCAATGAGGGCACGCGTGTTGTCGCATCATGTGACTGGATGCAGAGGCTAATCAAGGCTTGCGAGCCTTGTGCCGGAAGCTTCCACCTCAGATATGCAAGGGTGGGTGGGCGGGCGCAAAAAAAGAGGGATAGACCCTCAAGGCGTGACCCTTAAGAAGCTTGAAGCAGATAGAGCAGACACTGTCTCGGGCTCTGCTTCGGCGGGCTTCCAGTTTCCCACGCATTCTGCGAGCTCGCTAGGCAAGTCTGCGTGCTCTTTGGGCGGCCACTGCATGCTGCGCGGCAATTCGGAAAGGGCCCGTGCGGGCACTCCCTCTGAGAGCAGGGGAAGGAGTTTGATGTCTGGATCATCGGATGCAGTGGCCAGCGCATGCAGCAGTGACAGCCGGTATGGTTGGCCATCGTCGGGAGCTATGCTGGCCGGGGCTGGAGTGTTCACGGCCCCAAAGGCGATTCTTCTGATTCCTGGACTGATAGTGGAGGCTCAGGGTTGCCG